AATGTCCTTACAACCATTGTTGTGAGGACATTTTGGACGGTCCTCACAACTTCAAAGGGCTGTTTGAGCATTAAGACTTGATTTTAGGGTTCCGCTTAGAATTACATGGATCTAGGTTTAGGGTTAAGAATTTATTTGTGATGCTTGAGGTTATGGTAAGGGAATGCATTATGTCAATGAGTGTCCTCACAACTAATGTAAGACGTAAGAAGTATATAAGTGCGTAAGAAATACATTTTTATAGGTTTACCTTTTTAAATGTGATTTCATAAGAGTCCAGTTTTAGTTCAGTTTTTAAGTACATCCTGAGATGAAATATTTTCTTCCTTAATCTTCTTAGCCAAATGTTGTGACACATATAGAGTATACTGGGTTTAGCTGTCTAGGTTTTATAGTAGAAGTTGTTGACAAACTGAATATAAATCCCTGTCACACTATTGTTACTAACTCCAAATGTTGCTAATCTGCTCCTTGTTAACGAAGGATCAGGATGAGGTCAAGTTAAGGAGGGAAAGAGGAAATTGTAATTAGGAACACAACCCTGTGGAGAAAGACCAACTTAACATTGTGTGTAATTTAGCTGCCTTAATTAGGACTAATGCTGAAACCTGTTACTCTCCTAATACATTTAGTCCCTTGGCTGGGGATCTCACTGGTTCATTGATCTTAGAGATTTGAATATTAGGTAAAAACTTGTGAACTTTGTCTAATCAAAAGTACAGGTTAGAATTAGGAGCGCTACATAAGACTAATGGTCTTATGTAGTGCTATTATGATGGACTGATGGTGTCTGTCCTCCACCTTCTTAGCTTCACCATTAGGATTGTGACTTGGGTTATTTTATAGATGCATTTGCACCAATGTCTAAAAATTTAAAACCAGTGACAACCAGCACACATTTACAGGTGACAGTACCAACTTGGTTTGTTGGAAAGTGGTACCTTATAGCTCCGTATGAAAGCCCATTAATACAAGAGACTAATGAGAAGAACTAATTATTATATATTTTTAGTCATTTGGCTTTTGTATACCACTAACATTTTATGATAATAAACTAATTTAATAGAAAACAGTCTGTTTACCTGCTGTTAGCCTTACCAAAATTTGTCTGTACCTTACTAGGCTAAAGTTTTATATAAGATTATTCACACCCTTAATTTTGTTTTTGTAATTCCAGGTGTGAGATGTGAAGAATCCATCTTTATAAGTGTCGTGACTCAGCTTTTTTGCATTTCTAAATCTAATTGTGTGTCTGTCTGTGTGTGTGTGTGTGAGTGAGCGAGAGAGGGAGAGAGAGAATGTAGTTTATAATAACAGATGGGAGTTGGTGTTAATAAAACACTATCCATGAGTTTTCACCCTCAGAATTTTTGTTTGTAAAGTTTTCTGTACTTGAGAACATTGTGTGTGTGTGTGTGTGTGTGCGTGCATGCGTGCGTGCCTCTGTGAGTGTGCGCGCCTCTGTGTGTGTGTGTGCGCGGATTAGTCTGTCGCCCTGATATGTCTATTAGATTGATGCTCCAGAGAGGTGGTCTGCCTCAACACTCTTTTACCCCACAGCTCCCTTCCTTTCTAGAAGAAGTCTGATTCTATTAGTGGATAATCAGCTGTAGACACTCATCCTGCTTTAGCCCCCTCAATCCCTGTGACACTTTGCTACATTTTTTCAATTGAACAAAAAGTGCAATTACTGCAGGAAAAATTTTCTGTTGTTAGCGAAACAATGTTTTGACTCACCTGTCTACACACAATTATGCCTGCACTGTATGTGTACACACCGTTAATGTTTGTGATGTTGTTTGATCATAAGTTGTTTTTGTTTTTTACGCTTCTGTTCATGGCAGAAATTCCAATTTAATGGTAAATCCTTTGACATGCTTTCATAGCTCTCTACTGTAAGCTTAGTATTTGTGTGTGTTGGAAAACACAATCTCCCAGAAGTAATTTCACTTGAAGGATGCTCATTGTTTGACAGATTTGTGTTGCTTTACGTGTGTTGTCTCTACTCTCTGCATGAGTTTGATAGGCTAATAATCTATCTTGATTAGCGACGTTGACTGCATTACACATCTTATTTTTTTCTATGAAAAGGGCCACATCACACTCTTCAGTAATCTAAGCTATTTGTGTATCAAAGATTCAACAATGGCATAGCAGTTTCTTTATCCAGTATGTTGCACTTATAAACTAAAAATCTGTGGTTTTTCAAGTGTCCAAATAAATTTGGGTACTTTAAAGTAGACTTGTCAAGGAATCATACTGATATCCACTTTGTTGTGACCTGAGGATGACTGGAGTGATACCATCTACCGGTGCATGCTGACTGTACATTCCTGAGCATAGGATGTTTCAGTGTAATGTTCTACCCATAGTCACATTATACATTGCTGATTATTAGTTGACAGTGGAACAACTAGAGCCTTTTATATTAAAACCAATTAGCTCCTCTAACTGGGAACTGTAACTCCTACAGCATCGTTGTGTCTACCCTTAGATCCTCAGGTAAAGCAGCTGAGCTGATAGCCATCTCTGCACACTAAGGGCGCTTTATTCTTAAATGGACAGTATGCAGTAAAAAATGACATGTGACATTAGGCTAGGAACTTGATTTCAACACATAGTTTTGCAATTACATGGTATATGAACCAGCAAAGTTCCCAGGACTAATACTTTAATCTATTACCTGGTGCCTCCAGAGGCCCACTGTTTTGGTATTTCATTCTGATATGTCTGTGCTGCTGTATGAGCTACAGGAGCTGTGGAGGTAATAGAGTTCAGCACACAGATGTAGTGGGTGGCAGCAGAGTGCTTATAGATTGCTTCCTGCTAATGTCACAATCTATTTTTCTGTCCCTGCTGCCCAGTATGGCTTTGTGTGTGTGTGTGTGTGTGTGTGTGTGTGTGTGTGTGTGTGTGTGTGTGTGTGTGTAACCTCGCCTGGGCGGCTCCATGCGCTGCTGTAGCCAGCTGAGCCTTTTCTTTGAACAGGTATTCAGCGCAGGCTTGATAAGATTCTGAAAACATGCACACAAACACTTTATGTTTCTGTTTTCAGCACTGTTGTGATTTGAAATATAATGCAATAATGAGTCATGTTTGTTCAGGGCTCACATCCCTCACAATAACTATGAAGAAATTAACAAGTCTCATATTGATGCTTCTGTGATATGCTTTGTCTGGTTTGTGTGCATGTTTGTATGTCTTGGGAGTGACATTCTTCTACTGTCTCAGTGTGCATATGTATCTGTCTGTGCATCTCATACTGTGCACAACACCTCTGTTCCTACTTGTGGCTTCTGAATTATGCAGAAGCCCTAGTGTGTGCTCAGAAAATAGAAGTGGGAGAGCAAATGGAGGTGTGTGTGGGGAGTGTGTTTGGGACTTGGGGAACACTCTGTGGTGGGGGTTATGGGGGTTATTTAGGAAAAGCTGCAGGATTCCTCAAAGATGAGTAGAAATAATGAGAGGAGGAGGGAACAAGAAAGAAAAAGGAGTAATGTGGAGATGAGAGAAAAGTATTGCCTGAAGGCAAGAAAACTGCATTGCTCAAGGGTTAAATTTAGCTTTTAGCTGTCTGTCTCGTTCCTCACTCCCTCTTTTTAGACCTGTGCTTCAGGTAGACTTCAGTCCATGTGCTGCTCCTGTGCAGCAAAGAGCACTTGGGGATAGCCTAGCCCAACCTGGGCGGCCCCAGCCCCAGCCTTCCATTGCTCAGCTTGCCTCAGTAAAAAGGGTTCTCTGCAGAACTGAATTATTCATGGGACTTCAGAAGAGTGTGGTGAAATTCCCCACCCCCCACACACTTGCACACAAAACCTGATATGCCACATACACACACACAGACACGCCATGCTTATCATCCTATTACTCCACTCCTTCAACACATTTCATCACAGCTCATCTTGCTTCATTGATAATTTTTAGGTTATTCAGGCTGATTTTTGTATTTTTCTGCTATATCATCTCAGTGGGAGTTCACTGTGGTTGAATAATTAAATAGATTAGATCTTGCTAGGTTGTGTTCATTGCATTCCATCGTCTGTATAGTCTCTCTCTGTAAGGGGTGGGGTCGCGCTCTAGTCCATGCTCAGTGCTGAGTGTACGTATGTGTTTGTTACATAAGTCGTTGCTGTGGTGGTTTAAAAAAGGGAAATCGCAGTAAAGAAACCCTTGGTGCTACTTAGAGCAAGGTGTTCTGAGTGTGGGCTCAGCCTTACAGAGAACTAGAGAGGGAAGGGATTGAGAGGGAGTGGTTACGGAAGATGTGTTTCCGCGTGTGTGCGTGGGATGTTTGGTGATGGAGAAGGGAGTGGTTGGTGTTAGTGGTGCAGAGAGGGAGACGGATTGCAGATATGGGGGGAGGGGGAAGGCAGCAAAAGGTAGTGGATGAGAGAGTGAACATGTGAAGTGAAAAAGATGGAGAAAGATGGAAGAGATCAATGACATGTAACCTTTAGCTGCAGTGTGTCATGGGCGTGACCATGTTAACGTGTGGGGCTCATTCTCCCCCTGGATTCATTGTAGCTGTGGTTTGTCACCCTTCTATGTCACTGCACAGCCTCCATGTTTCTGGATAAATTAAAACTAACAAGTGAGAGGTCACATCTGACTAGTATTACACTTTAAATACATGTACTCTAAATATCATGCACATACATATGTAAGCTGAGTCGTCTTTCTCTTGCTCGAGAAAGCCAGTGATCTGGACTCTTTCCACTCACACAAAGTGCAGATTGTAATCATCTTTGATATACATATGGTCCAAATACAAATATGTATATAGCTCAAAGACTGACACTAATTTCTCTCTCACTCACTGTCTTTCCCACTTACTAAAACACACTGGATGCACAAATTTAAAATGTACACGGAAGAGCCTCCAAGGTGATGGCCTCTTCCATCTGGTAGTGCTTGTGAAGCAAATATGTTATAATTAGTATCTATGGTTAGAGTTTGACATTCATTATTTCTTTTTGCTGCATCTGTCGTCTTTCCACTAGGATCGTAAACTGTCAAAAGTGGAGCGTCAACGCTTTAAGGAGGAAGCAGAGATGTTAAAGGGTCTTCAACATCCCAACATTGTCCGTTTCTATGACTTCTGGGAGTCATCCCTTAAAGGGAAGAAATGCATTGTTCTAGTAACAGAGCTCATGACGTCAGGGACCTTAAAAACGTGAGTACTTCATGAAGGCAAATATAGGACAGGTAACTCCTGACTAATAAGTGGAAAGAAAACATCACTCATTCAAACAACTATATGTGGCATAGATAGATTTTTTACAAAGGTTAAGTGAGCTTACTTTCTGTCATTTTTCACAGAAATGTCTTTGTGTTACTGAGAATATATTTTGTAACTCATGATCGTCTGGTAACAAGTTTCCCTCTCCTTCCTACAGCTATCTAAAGCGATTCAAGGTAATGAAGCCCAAGGTGCTGAGGAGCTGGTGCAGACAGATCCTGAAAGGCCTACACTTTCTCCACACCAGGACCCCACCCATCATCCACAGAGACCTCAAATGTGATAACATCTTTATCACTGGACCTACAGGGTCAGTCAAGATCGGGGATTTAGGACTCGCAACACTCAAAGCAGCTTCCTTTGCCAAGAGTGTCATAGGTAGGAGACTTGTAATGTAACGTTTCACATTCATGGTTTAGGTAAAACAGTAAAAGAGAAAATGTTGTATCCATTGGTCATTCTCTCTTTTCAGGCACCCCTGAGTTCATGGCTCCAGAGATGTATGAGGAGCACTATGACGAGGCAGTGGATGTCTACGCCTTTGGCATGTGTATGCTAGAGATGGCCACCTCAGAATACCCCTACTCTGAATGTCAGAATGCTGCTCAGATTTACCGCAAAGTCACAAGCGTGAGTCCAGATACTGTACAATTTTCCTGCTTGTTTCAGAAATTTGATATGTAGAGAAAATATTCACTGCAAATTTCATATAGATAAGTAAACACCAATAACCTTAGTAACAGCTGTGACAATATACTAATAATGAATTTAACTGTTATTGTACAGGGCCTGCACTAATTGTGTATTAGCTGTCACACATATTGTATGCAACACTTACAAGCCAGAGCACAGAGAACCTGCTTGTAGCATGCATTTTGTAATAATTCATGCTTTGTGAACCTGTAAAATGAGGCATAGAAAGGTAAGGAGTTTTTTAATTGCTTGATAACATATAAAGTCCAGTGAGTTTTTAATTGAAGAAATGCAGCTTTTTTTGCAGAGTACAAGATCTGCTCTGTTTTTTCAGCTATATGGATCCTCAGTCTTGAATTTCTTGGGTAAAGAATCTAATGAGCCATATGGAGTCACAGAGGGAGTCCAAATCTCCTTTGTTTTTTAGATAAAGCCTAAAGGCTGTATTCCATTCCATTTCAATGAGTGTGCCTCTGCTAGCAAAGCACACTGCAACTGTTTTTAGATTAGGGGGTGTCTAAACTCATGATAGACCTCCTGATTTGATGAAGAGTATTGATTTTCCACCCCTGAGACTTGGCAGGGTTGGAATCTGAGAGATGACTCTTTCACCTGCTGTTAAAGAAGCAAAGGCCTCTGCCCATATTAATGGTTGGGCAGCATCAATGCAGCTGTCTCTAGATACTGTTCTCTGCATTGTTACCATATGCATAGCAGAGTGCCCTGTAGGGAGCACTGCAGGATATTAATAGGAGATTTATCAAAGAGAAACCCTGATAGCTTTAAACTATTCCCTGAATGCATAAAGTATGCAGCTGCATAATTGGGTGGAATGCTAAAGTGTAGGATGCACATAGATTATCTCGGAGATGCAGAAAATGTCTGTTTCAGAATTTAACGATCTTACAAGTTATGTCAACACCACACATAATGCTGCACCTCAGAGAGAGTGGGCAAGATGTGCCTGTAAAAAAACTAGACTTTGTACCGAAGGTCAGAGCGCTGGACTAAATAAAATGTAGTGTTAGGAAAAATTCCACCATTTTAAAAGTGATATTCTAAAACAGAAGAACACTTTCTACATTTAGTGAGGCAGGTGGATAGGAGCAGGATGAATGGATTCAAAGTAGCAATTTAAAAGTCCCACACACTGTCTAACTTGCAATAAACAATTTATTTGCATGTTTCGGTGCTAGATCTTTATCAGGCCTGATTTATTTGCGACGTTTCGGAAAAGATTGCAAAAAAATTCTGAATTGCAAGTTAGACAGTGTGCAGGATTTTTGAATTGCTAAAAGTGATAATATAACCAAAACGTTCTGAGAATCAAATCGGTGTAAAAGAAAAATGTCTATAGAAACCTCTCAAAGCACTCCTACCACATAATCCACTTGTTCACTGTCCATCCATATGCTCAGGATGTTCGGAGCAGTAAAAATACCATAGGAATTTAGACCAGCTGTGTTCTAATTATAGTGTAAAAGACAAAGCAACATCAGGAACCAGGGCAGACTCAAGACAGCTGCTTCTTCTGACAAATGGAAGAGCAGGAGATGTGTGCTCAACGTGCACAAATCAGTGTACACACCTACCAATGAACTCATCAAGGTTGTGTCTGAGCGTTGAGATGGAGATTGTGCATTAAGCTATAATTTTGTGAATATATTGAGCTTTTACATGAAGAGATGTTGACTATGCTGCAGAAGTGGTTTGAGAGATTTCTCTGGATGCCTTTTGTGGTTTTTGGACTCCATTGCAACCTGAATTCAAGCTGACCGCAGCTGCCGTGCTCTGTCCAGGTCGACAAGCCTGCAGGGTGCGAGTGTGTGATTCTTAAAACATAAGATCTAGGGAGGTGTATCACAAAAACATCCCCATACACTCTTTCTTTTGTTTTTCCTTCATGATTATTTCTCATCAAGACAGTATCCTTTTGTTGCATGTCCTCAGCGCTTTGTTTATGTTTCCTCTTCCTCAGGGAGTGAAGCCAGCCAGCTACAACAAGGTCATGGATCCTGAAATCAAGGAGATTATTGGGGAATGTATCTGCCAAAAGAAGGAGGAGCGGTGAGTGAATGTCCCGATCACTGTCCAGCATCCAGCCCACAGGGCCCACAAGGTGCCCTCTCATCTTTCGTGCCTTGTCTCACCTCCCCTGCTTCATTGCTGTGGCGCTGACAGTTGGGCTCTCAGCAGCACTGCAGTCTCCCTCCATATCTGCAGGATGTCTTTCAATTCAGTTCTGTTACGTAATACGTTTGTGTACAGAGGGGAAAATAACCCTTAATTAGCTTCCAGTGTCTTTTTTTTTTATTGAAGCATGATTGAATTCAGTGATTGACTTGTCCTGGCAGCACAGGTAATCTGTGACCATGTATGTATAATTACTGTGTTAGACCAGACCAAGATGCCCTTTCACTCACTCACACACCAGGATTCTTGTACCACAGCTAACTATATTGATGCCAAGTCTATCTGCAAACCCTCGATATTACAGATGAGTGGCTGCAGTGTGTAGTACATGATTTTGCCAGAATCTGAGCTTCTTTGTTCCTTCTCCCAGGTACACCATCAAGGACTTGTTGAACCATGCTTTCTTTGCTGAGGACACAGGTGTGAGGGTTGAGCTAGCTGAGGAGGATGATGGGAAAAAGGCCTCAATAGCCCTCAAACTGTGGGTGGAGGACCACAAGAAGTTAAAAGGGAAGTACAAGGAGAGTGGAGCCATCGAGTTCGCATTTGACCTGGAAAAGGAGGTGCCTGAGGTTGTGGCACAAGAAATGGTGAGTGACTAATTATTCGTATATGTAAAAGTATTATGAGATAAATCTGGATTTGGCTTCCTGTGACCTATCTTTTTTTTTTTTTTTTTTTTTTTTTGTTTCATATTGCACTGAGAAGCCTGAAGATATTTGACTGTCATCTATAGATAGCTGCATACTTTGCATTTAGTTTCCAAAAGTTAGTTTTAACCCATGCTAGTTGATACAGTTTGTTATGCTTTGCATATCTTTGTGGCTTAGTGTGGTCTAGCTGCTGGGAGTGCTCATATCTCATCAGTGGGGAATGCACTCAAATGCAGATAGCTAGTGATAACTTTCTCTGCTTTTCCAGGAATACAGAGATTGGGTTTTATTTTTTCCTTTCGTTTACATGGTCTTCTTCAGTGTAGATCATCAGATAAGGTGCTCACAGGCCCACCAATAAAAACCTGGTCCGGAAATAAACAAAGCTCTCTCTGTGTGGGAGTCATGATGATACTGACCTCAAGCCTTTAATATCATTCATCTAACATTCTGCAATACCATGAAAGTTTCCTTAACTGCGTTATGGGATCAAGTGAATCGAGTTAACTTTAGCTGGAGAATGTAAATGTTGCAATTGTCAGGCTTTGTTCTTTAATAGCCTAAACAGGTTTCAGTGAAACTCTTTGGTCGTGGCTCCAAAGCAGTGGTCCTGCTGTGAGAGAGGTTCAAAGGTTGCTGTTGTCATGGTCTTGCAAGAAAAGTTAGACTGGGACCAAATTCTGACGATGTCAGATATTTAGGATTTTATCTCACAATGTGACTGCTGCTTTGACCTGCGTCTACTAACCAACCAATAGGAATGTTGCATGAAATGACATACATCAATGCATTGTTTAGCTGCACATGATGACATTATATTCTTGGATATTGACTTGTGTCGTAGCCTACCATTCAGCAGGTTTTAATCATCATACAGTCAACACACATCAAACCTGTTGTCATACCCACTTTTATTAGATCCATGTGGCACAGCGTGGCCGACAATACACCTATAAGACTGCTGAAATCTCATAGTCTGTATGTGCCTTATGTAAAGGTTTTGACAGTGGTTTGCCCATTGATGGCTTAAGCATTTTGCTTAATACTCAACCAACTGATCCAATCAGGGACATAACCTGCTTTCCAAGGCTTTCTGTTTTAATGCCTCCACATCGGCGGCAGCCAGGACCTGAGCCCTTACATTTTCGCGTTCTCCATTGGTCTGTCTGTACGTCCATCCCATTCTTGTGAACACGATGTCTCAGTAACACCTTGGGGGAAGTTTCTTAAATTTGGCACAAACATTTACTTGGACTCAAGGATGAACTGAATTCATGTGCTAATTATGACACAGTTTAACATAAATGTCTAATAGGATAAAATTATGAAGTGATGACATTTTATATCCAAATGGTCAATGGTTAACTTCACCGTGACATCATAATGTTCTGCAAAAATACTTGTGGCCATTAATCAACAATGTAACTGTATGTTACTATATTTCCTGCAACTGGGCTGGTTGGCGGAGGCATACAACCGCAAGGCAGTAATTCTAGTTCTGTCTCTTGTTTCAAACTGTGTCTTCCTTTTGGTTCTTGCTCTCTCTCTCCCACACATCTCATTCCCTCTTTCTTGTATGCTCTCTTTCCTTCGATTTGTCTGTGCTGTTTTGGCCTTGACCAGGCTGTGTAGCCAGAAAAAAAGATTAAGGCCTCTCTGTAACAATTGCCTTGGGGATGAGAGCAGACATGTGGACCAACAGCACAATGAAATTGTATGACCAGCATGCTCCCATGTCATGCCATTGCTCAATCAAACTAATGAGTAATTTCTCTCCTGACAGGCAACCTGGGAGATGTCATTTTGTGGATGTCGTTTTTCTGGTCTTTCATTCTTGCTTTTGTGCTAATGATGCTTATATGCATTTATAACCATATGTTCTATACACTGTCTTCATCTTTGTTATTTGTAGATGTAACAGTCCTGTTGTGAGTAATGAACCAACTGCTGACAAAGGGAATAGTTTCCCACTGCTCTGATCCCCTTAAAATAGATTTTCTATTCCTTCCTTTTCTTGCTCTTTCTCTCTCCCTCATCCACTCCCCTTTTTAATGCATCTCTCACATGCTCAATGCTAAAAATATCCTGCAAGTCATGCTCTTCCCTTTTCTTTGTCAGGTGGAGTCTGGCTTCTTCCACGAGAGTGATGCTAAAACTGTGGGAAAGTCGATCAGGGACCGTGTGGCACTGATCAAATGGAGAAGAGAGAGAACAGTGTCTGCTGCAGTTGCAGTGAATCAGGGTGAAGGAGGACACAGGGTCCAGATCACACCGTCTCAGGGCATCTCTGCTGGGGCTGCACATGTAGGACAGCCCCCTTTGCAGGAACCAGAAGAGCCAGAGGTAGACCAGCACAACAGGCTGCGTAACCTACCAACCAGTGCCACCTCAGTGACATGTAAGATTCTGTTCTCCTCCACTCAAAAACACATGAGCTTAATCTTTGACTTTTTTATGAGTACATGATTTGTGTGTCTCTGCAGCAGACGGCACACTTGACAGTGGCATGGGCTCCACTGTGTACTCAGACTCCCACAGCAGCCAGCAGAGTGTCCTCTACCAGTCCCTGCTGGAGCCTATTACTATGGCAACGCAGCAGGTCTGTATCAAGAGCATACACACCCAGGTGGACCATGTACATTCAGATTCATTGAGAAACACATACTTTTGAAAGCAGCCACTGCTCATGTGGCCTTGAAATCGAATGCAGGTGCTGCATCCCCACACTTAAAAAGAACGTTCATCTGCAGAGTCAACATGCCATACATTATTTGGACACGATCAATCTTCATTATCCTAGTCATGCACATTACATGCACATGTCCTGGCAAGCAAGTTTGTTCATCCTCATCTCATCATATAATTCCTTTTCTTTTGTAATGATCTGTTCATTTTGAGTAACACATGTTTTGCTTTTGGGTTGCTGCTCAATCAGTGCCAGAGCAGTAACCCTCTTCTGACAGATCGGCCTCACTCCTGTGAAAAGGGTGAAATATGGGGCGCAACACTGAGCCCAGAGCTCAGGACTCGATTGGGAGCAGCAGTCCGGAGAGGAAGTGCCCCTGTCATTGACACTCACAGGGAAAACCACATCGCTCAACTCCACGCCCTCAGTCAGTTTCAGAGATCAATCAGTCCCACCCCCACAGTACTAGAGAACCAGTCAGAACTCAGCCCCTCTGAACTTCACTCAGAGGCTGAGGATGGTTTCCCCTCTCAAAGTGCTCTGCCAATGCTGCAGGTCTCCCCTGTCTCTTCACCCTCTGAGTACCGCCGCCTTAGTGACACCAGCATCAGGCCAACATCAGAGGCCGCCAGTGAGAACTTAACACTGCCTGTGCCAAGTGTACGCAGACACTCTGACCTTAGTAGTCTTCTGAGTATAACCTCTCATCATAACCACCATCTTGGAATGCATAAATCCCACATTTGCCAGGCCTGCCTCTCTTTGCTTTTGAGGTCACGAGAGGGCAGCCACCGCCACCCTTCTGTTGTCATGCCGACACACCAGTGTCCATGTGACTTAAAATACTGCCCGTCCTCTGGTGGAACAGTGACCACCCCTGGTTATGGTCGGCTGAAAGGTTCCGGTGATTGCTCTGATTTCTCACTGCTGCAGAAGTCCCTGTTCAATATAATCAGCCGCAAAGCAGCCCCTTGTCACACCACACCCACCCAAGCCTCACTGCTTGACCCCTCAGCCGCCCATAGGCCTGCTCGCAGTGATGGAGACGGCAGTCTGAAGAGTCGTGTCTTGAGTGGCAGTTCAGTTCGGGACCAAGAACCCCTCCAGGACAGCGAGGATAGATTCTGTGCTGGAGAGCAGCAAGTTACCCAGGCTGTGGGAGTGGTAGGTCACAGTAGCAGACAAGTCGTTTTTATTTTCCCATATGAGGCCAACACCTGCTTAACTGATTTCTCCCAGCCTGTAGGACGCACAACGTTATTCTGCATGGAGCTGGTCTGATCTCCTGTCTACTGTCTGAGTCTTGCTGCCTGCATAGGCCCCCAGAGCTGACCGTCTTCTTAGAAATCATAAGCTTGCTCGTGTCGGAGGACAATGGCACAATCTCTAACAGGCGCAATCTCTGCTGATTAATCCTAACCAATCCCTTCTAGAACTGACCTAGATTTTAATATTTTTTTCCTTTCTGCTTTACTGACCCCAGGCTACAGCTGTATGTCTTCTTAGCTTGCCGTGGATAGACTGCCTCTGATTGAAGAAGGGGTCACTGTCTGATCTCCCTCCTCTTGGTCTCCTGCTATTTCTCCCTTGTGTCCTTATTTTAGCTCACACCTGTCACTGCCTGCTCATTGTTGAAAAAGATGTTTCATTAACTTATTTTTATCCCTCATCCTTTCATCATACTTGCATCCGGTATGAGTTAATGTAATTGGCACAGTTATTAGCTTTTGTGGGATTTTATCCATGACCAGAAAAATTCACTGCCAAGAAGGTCTAACTTAAATTTCTCTATTTTTTTTCCTTAGACCAATTCTGCAGGTCACCAGAATCAATCACCTGTCCAGGGCCTGCCTTCTTCCAGCACAGCAGTGCACACACCACTGCAGTACCTCCAGCCTGGACACAGCTACCCTGCTGCTCCATATGCTGGTCAGCCCAGTGTTGCAACACCAGCCCCAGCTAGTATATGTTTAGTCAACATCCAGCATGCAGGCAACTCAGCTGGTTATGCACCTCCAAGTGTGCAACAGACCCAAGCTGCAGCAAGTATTTCAGCATCAGCTGTGCCACAACATGTTGCACAGAGCCACCAAGCACCAGGCCATAAACAGCAGCAGGCAACAGCAGCAAGCTCTTTAACTTTTCCTCTGCAAGGGCATCAAACGTGTCAGAACTGTGTGGCTCCACCTCAACAACAGGCTCAGTCTGCATCAGGATATCCTACTCCAGTTCAGCAACAGACTACAGCAGCAGCAGCAGCAGCAGGAGCAGGCAACCTGCCAGCACAGCAGCCAGCACAAAGCTACTCTCTTGTATCTGTAGCCCCAACTATGGCAGCCACAGCCCAGTGTCATCCTGCACAAGCTCCCAGTGCACTGCAGCACATCCAAGCTACAGTCAAACTGCCAAGTCAGCAGCCTGGTCAGAGCTCCTCCACACCAGCACTTTACAGCCAACAGATACCCATTCAGCAAGAGCACCAACAGCCCTTACCACAAAATACTCAGTCCAGTATACAACAAACACAAAATGCTGGGCAGGCTTATATTCAACCTCAACTCCAGCATAACCAAGATACTGTGCGTCCCATACACCAACAAATGGCACAACAGCCCACCCACCAAGCTCAAAGTCTCCAGTCTCCTGGTCAGCAACAATTGCAAACCTCAACTCTACAGCAGCACAGCCAGAAAGCTGTGCAAACAGCAGTTCCACAGCAGAGCCAGGGTGTATCCCAGTCCACAGTCCAACAGGTTCAGACCCCAGCTTCTCAGCCTCATCTCACAGCAACCCCAGTTGTGCAGGTTGCAGCCACACATCAGAGTTACCCTGCTGCAGGTGTACCTGATGCTGCCTCTCAGAGCTATGCACATTCTACCTTCAATGCGCTGCAACAACAGACTGCTCCATCTCAGAGCCAGTACCAGCCTGCACAGTCTACTGCTGCTCCACAGACCTATGGAGGAGCTACCCAGGTAGTGACTCCTCAGAACCTTCCAGCCTCTTCCCTCCATAGCCAGCCTGCACATGTTGTCCAGCAGGTGAGTGTTGATGCAGTAGATTATAGCTAGGTGGCATACATAGTGCCCCAGTTGTTAATTTTTTATTCGTTTTCCGTCCTCTGACCTCGCCCTATTTTCATTTTTCATCAGTTTCAACCCTATCTTTGCATCGCTGCTTTCCTGAACCAGGTAGAACGCCTTTGTCTCAACACACTTTGTCACTGTGGGACTCACTGTGGGAGGGACAGAAAACCATGCACTTAAACAAGTTAACAATGTTATTTAGGGCCGTGCTGTAACTACTTTTGGTCCTTCTCATATTATGGTGCCTGGTTTTGATTTGGTGCAGCTGAATTGGAAGCAGCTGTGTTGGTGGACAGTAGGGTGAATGAATAAATGAACAGCCCAATAAACAGGAGTTTCCTCGGACAACAGCCAACAGAGATAATGGAAACAGTAATGAAAACAATAACAGCGGTTTTAGCTGCTGCATCCGCCAGCCCTCCCAGGCTTACTCTTTGTCTGTTTTGTGGTACAATCTACTTCAGTAGATTCTGACTTATTCCAGGCTTAGAGACAGGATGGAAAATGTGAGCTATTCTGATCTGGCTCAATAGCAGGAAATGCAGATTTCCAAACTGAAAGATGAAACTGGAATCCCTGCCCCCGCCATCCCTTATTGAATTTCCTCCTTCTTTTTCTCATTCTTCTTCTTTTTCTTCTGTAGAATATTCCTGTTGGTCAAAGCATTTCACAACTTGGACAAGATGGACAGGGCCATGGGCAGAATCTCAGCCAGTCTGCTTCCAGTATGCTGGCCCAGCCACTTCCTCCTCAACAGTCAATGGCTCAGGCTACTGTCCATCAACAACTCCAACCTCTGCAGATATCAACCTCTCTACCACCAACACACCCACCCCAGGTAATGTTTGTCTGCTCTCACTGCTCTCACAATGATCTTACCTGGATAATACCCATTCATTTTTCTTGTGTCTTAGTTATTATATGTCTCAGCAGATTCTTCTAGCTTGAATTATATTTACAGAGCAGTAACAATATTGACTTGAAGCAAGCAAGTTGTCTTGATTAATCATCCTCCTATGCTTGAACTTGAGGTTCTCTAGATTATTTGATTTTCCTCTGTCTCTTCCCTTTTTCTTTTCCCTTCAGTTTCCCTCACAGTATCCCACAGTCCAGGTGATGACAGCTGTGACTGACTGTGAATCCTCCTATCCTCAATCCTGCACTGCCCCTCACCCTTCAACCTCCTCTTCTCTTAATCACGTCTTCCTTTCTCCTGGACAGACTCTTCCTGTAACCCCCTCTGTCTCCCCTCTCTCCCCTCTGCACATTGAAAATGCGTTAGTTTCACCCATCCCAGTGTCCCTCATACCTTCTCCCTCACCCATGCTGGGTAAGATGGGACCCACATCCCCACAGCACCAGCCCACCACTGCTCTGCAGCAGAGTGTTAGATGTGAAGCCTCTCATTCACAACCTGCATTTATATCTGCACTAACCACCCATCCCATACACACACACATTTCACTGTCCCAAAACACACACCCTCCCACAAATGGCAGCACTCAGCCTCTGATACAGGTAATTATGATGGCTGCAATGAAGTGCAGATGTTTACCAAGAAGGTGTGAACTGGAATTTGAGTGTTTGTGTGTGTCAAAGGTGGTTTTACTTAAGTGAGCCTTTGATTGTCAAAATCTCTGATTCTTTTTTCAGATTGTTTTTACAGTTTTGTTTGCATCGCAAAAAAGCTTTGTGTTTAAAGTGACTGTGCTGTTGTTCTGTTGCTGAAGCATAGAGTTAATATCAGATTAATTAAATAATGCAGATGAAAAAATGACTGAAGTGTTTGCTGATACAAGTTGTTATATATACTGTAAGAATATTTTGTAGGAATTCTTACCAGGAAATGGCGCAACAGCCAAATATATGTTTGAATATCTCAATATGTCTCCAAAGGATTCCGAATTTTCCTAGATGAAATGATTATGTATAATAATAATTATATTACTAATAATAATGTGTTATCTCGTTTGTCTTTTACAGCAGGTTCCCCAGCAGGCCCAGATCAGCCACCCTGAGCTTGTCCCCTCTGCTCAGCCAGTCCAGCCTACACTATTCTCCTCACCTATGCAGAATGGGCCTGACCCAGGCACAGTCACCACTGCTGCCCATCTGGACAACAATAACCAATGCCAGCTGGCCCTGCAGGCCCAGGCCCAGAGTCAGCTTCAGAGCCAAATTCCTGTGCTGCAGACCTCTGAGTCTCAGAGAGCATCATCTGGGTCTGCCAGTTCCAGTCTGACTCAGCAGAAACATCTCACTACTCTAACAGGAGCAGCAGGTCCAGGTCCAACAGAGACCAGCACGGAGGTATGGACACATGACTCACTTTTTAGTCCCCACAGCTTATTTCTTCCTCTGTCCACATTGCTTTGAAGTGATACTATGCACTAACATGTAATATTGTGCTTTCACTTATATACATGTTACTCTAATTTATTATTCATTCATTCTGTCTGTAGGATCCAGCTTCAGAGAAGCACAGTGCAGGGCAGAGCTATGACAGGTACTATTTTATTTTTCCTCAGCAGGTGGCAAGTCCATGAGGTTGTCCTTCTAATAAATGCACACTGGATAAGAGTAATCTCAGGTGTTGTCAAATGGACAATCCCTAGAGAGAACTTTCTGCCTAATAAGCAGTAACAGTAATGTTGACATAATGCAGATGGTCTTTAACAGTTTTTGGACCTCTCCTACTTCAGACTTAAAAATGTAGAAACTCTGAAAATGTTGAAAGGATGCCTAGCAGAACCTTGTACTGTTGTTGTTGTTCTGGTTTAAACTTCTGGAGGAGACATTGTTTGTTTATCTTTAGAAAACACTGAGGGCGTTCCAGCAAACAACTTCTAACTGGCTGGCTCTTCTCCTAAAGTAAAAAGGATGCTGTTTGTCAATATTATTTATTTTGTAATGTGGACCTAATTGTGCAGTTTGTGAGGTTCTCTCCTTTTTCTCTGGCAAAGTGTTGACCGATGACACAAACGTGTCTGTAAAACTAGAGAGCACTCTGATGAACACTGATGTCACTCTCTTGATCTTTCATATCACTGTGACCAGCAGTAGCTAAGACTCCTTTTTATTTCATAAAGTCAGTTTTTCCCTCATAATGGATAGAAAATAGATAATCCCTCACAAATTTATATGCCCTTGAAGCTCATGTGGAGTTTAGTGTCACGCTTGGCTTATATATCAGACTTCAGCCAAATCCTACAGACATTCCAGAGCAGCAATAAACTCTATATCTTTTTAATATCTGTTGCTTGTTAGTTTCTGATGGTACTGAGTACAACTACAGGTATGTTTTTAATCTTGAAACCACAATAGCCCAACAAAATGTGAAGCTGTGTGTTCTGTATTCAGGTAATAATGAAAAAGCAGCACTTACACTGATGTACTTGCTGTTTGTTCCCAAAACTAGTGTCAACTCTGATGCCACGTCAGGGAAGGAGATGAGTGATGGTTGTGAGGGGACACAAGGAAGTAAAGGGGAAGGCAAAGTCCGCAAACACCACCGCAGGTCCACACGCACTCGCTCTCGTCAAGAGAAGATTAGTAGACCAAAGCTCAGCATGCTCAATGTGAGTAACCAAAATATATTCCAACAAGGAGCACATTTAAGACCATGCTCAAAAATAATGTGATAGTAGACAAGGTATTTATTGCATCTGCTCTTGTTGCAGGTGTGTAACACTGGGGATAAGATGGTAGAGTGTCAGTTGGAAACTCATAACCATAAGATGGTCACTTTCAAGTTTGATCTGGACGGAGATGCACCAGAGGAGATTGCTATATACATGGTATGTAGGAGACAAAAACGCTGCCTGTTCAATTGGTACAAAGGTCTTTGTAGTGTGTTGTAAGATGTGAATTTCCTGAGATGCTTTCTTATGGCTCCGAACTCTGAAACTCCCTGTGTTGCTGTTCTTAGCTGCAATGCAGCAAAAAGTCTTTCTGTCTCTCTCTTGCTCTTTCTCTCTCCTCCAACCCCAACCAAGTCATATTGGGCTCATATTTATAGATAGAAAGATGAATATTTCATGGCATAACTGCTCCAGTAACTTATCATGTATAAAATAGTTCGTCCAAGGCAAATACCTCTTTGTGAAGCTTTCTAAAGCAATATGTATAATTACATTTTGTGATGTGAAATGCTTAGAAATATATATACTTAGCAAGTGATGTAAATGTCTTCATCTGATTTAAATTGAATAAAGACAACATTTGCTTTATCTTGGCAGCAAACTACATTAAGAGAATATATGTCGAAGTTCAATCATTTTGTTTACTCTTCACATAAACATGCATCTGTTCCTCGCACAGTCATGACCACAGTTTTATTTCAAGCATTGCTTTTAAAGCTCTGATGTCTTTATCTCCATTTTGTCCTTCAGGTGGAGAATGATTTCATTTTACCTCTGGAGAAAGACGTCTTCATTGAACAGCTGAAGGACATTGTGGACAAAGCTGAGGACATGCTGAGTGAGGACACCGAGGGTGAGAGGAACTCTGACCAGGGAGGCAGTCCCAAACAGAGTGAAGGAGCTGACACGCTGGGAACAGAGGTGAGAAAGGAACTGCTGATGGTTAATAGTTGTGATAGCGCAATCCGTCTACGAGTGCCTCTGCCTTGGATACATCACCCTGACAGCACTCTCAAGATGACTTTGCATGCAATGCTGCCAACAAGAGATGCCAAAAATACCATTCTTGCTGATGTGACATTTTGATCTAACTGAATGTATTTCTGAAGTTCAGCTCTTTGGCTCATTGTGGAAACCCTTTAAATGTCTATTTAATTGACGCACCTGCACCAACTCTTTGTAGTAATCCTTCTTTTTCTTTTGGGATTGAAGGCTTCAGCACCCAGCACCCCACAGCTGGTGTACCAACAAAATGGTAAGGCTTTTTACTACCAGAAACTCACTCATATTCACTCTAATCCACTCACACTTTCCAGTTCTAGTTAAACGTAGCTGCTTCCTTGTACATTTAGATATTTAAGAGGCCTGCTAGATGAGGAACTGGAATGAGAATGATTTAATGAATTACTTAAAAATCTGTTTGTTTTCTCCCATTCTTTCTTTCTCGTTATTTTGCTTTAAAGTGAGTTATGAGTTTTTCTTTCTCTCTGTCCTTGACAGTCCTCCACACTGGCAAGCGCTGGTTTATCATCTGCCCTGTAGCTGAGACGCCCATGCTAGACAAAGAGAAGACTACATCACACACCTCTACAGCCCAGGGTATGCTGCACATTACTCACTGCTTACTAAACCACATTCTTTAATGTGAGGGTTTGCTTTTTCTGCCAGGAGTATAATTTCTAAAGAATAAAATGAATCGTTGTGTCTGACTTGCTGCTGTTTATACTGAAGGCGCTGCACATGCATTAAAGTGTGCGTCTGTGCAGTTCATCCGTTGGGGTCAGTTATGTAAGAATGCTTCTGCAGTGGTTCTAGGCAGAAATGAAGGGCAGGATTTATACTCCAGCTGACAGAGCCTGATGGGGAAGAAAAGCAGTGATGTAACACTCTGGCACTCACAGGACCCAGACCCTCTTCCTCATGGCCTTGGCTGTTTAACTCCCAATCTGTTCTGCCCCTAATTAACTCTTCTCTTTCCTTTTTCAGAATCTGAAAAGTCTGCTTCATCATCAGTCAGGCCCAACAACAACACAACTGCAATGACTACCCCAGTCGCATCTTTATCATCGCAAAGCCCATCCTCCTCCTCCTCTCTGCCCTCTGCTGCTCAGACCTCGGTGCAACCTCCAGGCCAAAACCTTGGCAAAGCCCATGTCCAGCAGACTCAGCCAAGTGTAACTAAACATGCCCATGCTGCTGCTGGTGTGAGCCATCAAAACTCCCTTCCTGTGGAAGAACCTTGCATCTCTGCTGTCTCTATGGTGACGGACATGCCATGCTGTGCTATTGTGCCACCTGTCTCTCTGGATGTGAATGCCAATGATAAAGGAGCAGTTGGTAGTTTGGTCTCGTCTCAAACCAATCAGCCCAATGAGAAGGCCAGTCCTACTGGAGAACTACCCCCTCAGCTGGGCTCTCATCAGTCTGTGGTCCTGCAGCAACCCTATGCCACGTCCATGCAACCTGGGACAGTTACCTCCCAGCCCCAGAGTCCAGCACATCAGACCTCCCAGAACTCCCAGTTGTCAAGCCACCAGCAGCCAGCAGGTGGAGGACCAGGAGAGTCGGACAGTGAGGGACCACGCAGGGTGGAGTTTGTTGACCGCACCATCAAGACTCTGGATGAGAAGCTGAGAAACCTGTTGTACCAGGAGCATGCTCCCTCCCAGCCTTCAAGCACGACATCTGACCCCCAGGCGTCCAGTGCAGAGGGAGTCGGCTCTCCTCCAGTCTCAGATGGCCAGAGCACTGAGGGAGCACTTACAAAGAAGAAGGGCGACCCACTGGTAAAATACACTCTGTGTGTGTGTGTGTGTGGTGTGTGTGTGTGTGTATGTGTGAGTTGGTTAGAAGCTACATAAATGGAATGATCATTAAATTGTTTCCCTGTACTGTGCTATTGATTTTACTATTGGCTGTAAAAAGCAAGCATAATACTGTGTTTAGAAAGAGGGGAGGGTAACAAAATTACTGCTGTCAGCACGATAATTCATCATGATCTCTTTCTCTGGCAGCTTCATTTTGAATCAGGGTTTGACTTATTCAGACAAAACTGAGGTCAGGAGAGGATAATAGCAAGCCTTACACTGATCTACCACATCTAGTTATTTACCATTTTCCATTGTTGAAATGATTGCAACCTCCTACACACACACACCCTTCTCTCTTTCTCTCTTCAGCCTCAGATTCCTGAGCGCACAGAGAGTGTGGGTGCACTAAGTGATTCTGCAGTGGCAGGTAGGTAACATTGTTTATGTAACGTCCATATCACATTATTACTGCATGAGAGTTTGAAATTGGTTTGTTTTGAAATAAATTCTCCTCCCTGGCTCTTTAGCGGCGAGCAGGGCTTTGAAAGGAAGAGATGTGACTGCCAGCTCCAGTTCATATAGCTCCAAAAACCGTTTTCAAGTAAGAACCCTTTTTCCACTTTTTTGCTCTTAATGAGCAAATCTGCACAATACAAATGCCATTTGACTAAATTATATTACATTATAGGGCATGACTTGACACATGCCATTGTTTGTCCTGTGTCTGGTTTGTTGCTTGAACAGTGCATTAGTTGATGATATTTGTGGAATCTGATTTTGTCATGAACATGAGCTTCTCCTCCTTCCAGATCATCCCTACTCCACCGGATGTCATTAGTCGTTTAGAGAAAAGCAAGACAAGCTACAGCACCTGCAGTTCTGCAGCACCCTCTAGTGGCTCAGGAGGGTCTCACAGCCAGACGCAGGGTGCAGGCAGTAAAGAGAAGGGCAGTGTGGCTGTGGGCAGGTCTTCCGTGACGGCAGCTGAAGATGAGAATGCAGCAATATCCAAAACCCTTAGTTGTAACCGCTACTCCGCCCCTCCAAACTTCTTCCATGCCACACCCACTTCCAGCCCTGATGTCACCCCACGCCATATCCCCCGAGCCCAGACCATTGACACTCCGACCCATCACCACTACCACCACTCCTCTCACCTCTGTTCTGACTCAGCAGATGAGGATAGCAGCAGCATAGCTCTCCCTCCGGCCCACCCAGCTCCCCCACCTCATGCCCTGTCTGAGCACAGTGGTAGCGATCTCATGAAGAGGGCAGTGGCCTTCCTGCGGCGCTCTGGTCGGAGCAAAAGTGAGCAGAGCTCTGATTCACCAAGCCGACAGCCTGTGGCAATGAATGGTCACGCTCCCTCGCCTGCTGCAGGACATGCCCACTCATCCTACATCAGTAGTGACAATGACTCTGAGTTTGAGGATGCTGATATGAAGAAGGAGCTACAAAAACTGAGAGAAAAGTAAAGTAACACACATGGACTCACAGCTGCACAAATATGTTGCAAAGTTTGTCGGCAGTGTTTTCATGAATAGTTATCTAAACTGTTAGTCAGTATACAATACTTGGTTTTTAGAGAATTTATTTACGAAAGAATTTCTTTCATATTTCCTACAATACAGATGTTTGACTTTTCAGTTCTCATGGTCTGACTGCACTGATTGCAAAATAGCTTGAATTTACTGAAGATGCTGTACATTAATCCAGTTTTCAAAAATCATTTAGCAACAGTATTAGCCAGAACCACAGCTGCAAACTAAGCATTTAGTTTAGTACTGTTAAGTAAAAAAAACAGTCTTGATAAATACAGCTTAAACTGAAATATCACAATTTATGGTCTGCTCATAAAACCAAGTGTTAAAACTTTATCCTCAGTTCTCTATTAGTGTATGTGCAGATATGTCCCTCTGCATGATTTCATTTACATTTATGGTACTTGGAAGTAACCAACAACTCAACCGACTTGTTTCTGAAAGACGAGGAGAGGTGTTTGAATGAATCAGTAACCCGAAACCTGTATCAGGAGAGAATGACTCTTGACGCAGGTATCATCACTGCAAGCCGTAATGACAGAGGCTTTAGTGGATTATGCAGAGAGTAAATTACTGAGGAGGCTTGGAAAAAAAGACCATGAAATTGAAAAGCAGGCTGTCATTGGCCTTTCGTAAATCTTTTAAGCTAGTTTCTGTCTTTTCTCTCCTTGTACCTTCTCAACAGACACATGAAGGAGATCTCTGAGCTGCAGGCGTTCCAGAGGAGTGAGATTGAGCGTCTGTACAAAGAGCTGGGCAAAACTCTGCCCCCCAACGTCGGCCTACTTCATGCGGCACCCCCAAGTGGCCGCAGGCGTAGGGCCAGCAAACACAAGCTCAAGGCTGGAAAACTGCTCAATCCGATGGTGCAGCAACTTAAAAACAACCTTAACACCACCACTGAGAGGAAAGGTGTGTGTGTGTGGGTTGGGATTGTGGGGTGATTTGGGATTTATGAAGCACACATTTTGCCAAAATAGGATACACAGGGATGGCATCAGGCTCAGAAAACTGTGGGAGTGTGTGATTCACAGAGTGATTCACTATGACTCATGCTTTTTTCTTCTTTTTTTTTTTTGTGTCTTTTTTTTTGCGCCAAGGTGAAAGTGCTGCCAGTTCATCCGGCTCTCCTGCTAAAAGTTCAATTCTGTCAGATGGCTCTGCCCACTCCAGTGGTAGCTCCAGCTCCGCTAATCAGCCCAATTCAGCCCCAGAGCAGGTCCACACACAGCAACCCTGTTCCTTGAAGGGCTCTTTCTCCTCAGACAACATCTACTCTGGCCTACACAGTGATGGAATGGCCACCCAAGCAGGCCCTGGCCAAGGTACACATTATAGGTTCATGTGCATGCTGGTGTGTGTGGATGGGACATGCTATCTACTATACCGCCATTAGGGTTAAGGTAAAAGCTTAAAATTGTTAATGTTGTCGATACCCTCCATGGACAACATTGTACAAATAGAAGGATCAAAAGCATTTCACCTTGAAGGATTACAGACACAAACAGGACCACTTCATACTTCACTGTATGTAGAACCACTTAAACACCACATATATTCACTAACATTAAAGCCATATGTTTGACACACAAATTTGTAAATTTACTCATCAGATGGCTAGCATCTGTTGTATTCAGGAAAGCAGAAGTGGCACTTGTGCTATATATGTGTATTGTTTTGTGTTACATACCATCTGTGTTGCAAATAATACAGATGCACCGATGTGGAATTTCTAAGCCGATAACGATAACCGATAATTGCTGATAAATATCCAATAATTAAATTGTGTAGCATTAGGAGAAATAAAATGGGTGACGAACAGTGAGTTGATATTAGTTTATGTCAAAAACTGGATGTAAAAATGACACATACACAGGTACTTAAAATGAAACATAAAGGAAAACATGGAAAATTATTCACAGTTGATTTACTATAATGCAAAGTACAGAGAATAATGATTGAATGATCAATACCATTTAATAAAGGTGGCTCACTGTTTTTCAGTAGCAATCGTATTACCAAATGATTGGTTAATCTATTTATCAGTCTACTGCAAGTTTGACAATCCCACCAAAACAGAGACAGACACATTTTTAGGCTAAAAGGTTGGTAACTGCACTCTTGCCTATTTTTGACAAGTGATAGATAATAAGACATGGCTCTTTTTGTAGTTTGCTAACAATATTTTGAATATAGAGATGAGAAGGGAAAGAGTTTTATTGACCACAGTATCTCTCCTTATAAAGTGTGATTGTATCTCTTAAATTCTTCTCCAAGGTGCCAGTTTTGTGCTTGGAGCTGTAGCAGTTCACTATATTTTTTTAGTTTGAAATGTTTTAATTTACTCAATACATAACAAGCTAGTTGAACTTTAGGATAGTCAAGACCTCAACAGCTTTGTGCTGCTGTATTTCTATCTGAATTTTTTTTATTAGATGTATGCCTCAGTTAAGCTCATCTTTGTGAAATCAATTTCTTGCTTTCTAATGTCGTGGTTTAAATTTATTTTATTTTTATTTATTTTATTCTAGTGTATTTCCTGGTTTTATGCTATAAGCACTTCTCGGGACAGCTGTTGCAAATTGCACCAAGCTATAAACAATCTAATATTTTTTTGACCTCATCAAATAAATGATAAATAAATAAATAGACAAACAAATAATCAAACCCAAGAAGACGACCTTAATACCCTTACTTGGTGCTTTGTTTTCCTGGCTCCCCTAATATGGCTCTCTATTATCAGTTGTAATTATTGGCTGAAATTCCACCATCAGATGGAAGATAATTAAGTTTCCCATTAATCACCAGATAATATAGTGGGATCCTGCATTTCGTGCACTCCTTCTTAGTATCCTTTGCTGGTGCTTTTGATGGTGGGGGTTTCTCATCCTAGTCTCTGTGCACTTTTACAAAGTGTCTCTCTTGTTTCTTCTCTTCTTCCCTCTTATATTCATTTTTACAGGCTGGACGGTTTACCACCAAACGTCAGAGAGAGTCACCTATAAATCTAGTAGCAAACCACGCACTAGATTCCTCAGTGGACCTGTGTCTCTGTCCATCTGTTTGTATTTGTTCTTTTCTATTTCCCCTCGCTCATTTCCATCTTCTCTTTATTTAACCTACCTCTCTTTTCTATTATCCAAGTTTGTTTTATTTAAATATAGTGGATCTTCTATCTCACTCTCCTCACAGGCCTCTTCACCTGACATACATCATCCATTTTTACTCCTACCACTTACCCTTTCCCTCAACAACCTCAGAGCTTGTGTTCTGAATGATTTTTTTTTTCTTGACAGCCAGAGGATATCCATACCATGTTAAACTCATATGAACGTCAGTTGAATCTGTCTAACATAGGCACACTCCAGCAGAATAAAAGGCTTGTGCAGCCAAAAAATGTTTCCTTTCCTTCAAGCAATCAGTGAAACAGGTCATATTTCTGTAAAGCTTATGTTTTGACTTAGAACTTTGCTGATAAGTCAAAACATCTGATACTCTTGTTAGACACTGTAACTGGTGCAGAAATGTTTGTGGACACTTGTAGCGCTTAAAGTTAGAAAATAGCACTACAGATTCCCAGGCTTGTTTTCCCAAAAAGAGCTCAGCAACTATGCCTTCCATTGTTAAAATCTATGCCCGCTTAACAAGTTAAGTTTTTTATCAGCTTCTATTTAAAAACCAGGGACCACTTTGAAATAGTTGTTCTGCATTTTTCAAACATCTGTTGTCCAGAAGTCAACTATCTACACTAGAATCTTTATGGGACAGGAGAAACTGTATCTGTGACCCATGACTTTTGCTAAAAACCCTCATTTTATAAATCAGACTTTAACTTTGACATTTTGTTATGGATACTTTCAGTTTGATAGAGTAATCTAGCTCTTCTAATATAATTCACCTGTAGACAGTTGTTGCTGTAATGTGAATTTGATTACAACCACTATACAACCACTTTGTAATACCAGTGATGGTATTATGAAAGGCACTGTGGCAGTGAGTAATGTATGGAAGATGTGCTTAAAATCATCACAAGTTCAAAAAGAGTGGCCTACATTTGAAAATAAATGACAGTTACATATTTTCAATTTCATGCAACACTTCTTTGATCCTTTATCTCTGCAGAACAGTTGCAGGATGACTTCAGACATGTGCCTTGTGTAGACATTTAGATTGCGTGTTGAGATGACAGCTAGCTTTTAGCAGTCTGATTTGTTGTTTTGTTTATGCTGAAATACGATGCTATGTTAGTAAAGCAGTGGCTCTTTCTAAATGGATTGTTGAAAATACTGTTCTTGTAACTCTTATTATAAAGTGCAGCTTTGTTTCCACCTACTGGTCTGAATTGCTGGATAGTCTCTTAGATAGTTGTGCAGGAACAAATGTTATTTGTTGTACATTTGTGCTCCTACACGCCATAAATATGGCCTTGTTTAATGATTTACCAGTAGCCATTTTACCTGCATGCTCACAGTGATTTGTAAGGAATACATGTTCATAAAGATTTTGATATTAGTTCTCTAAGTGGGAGGTACTGTCTCTGGTGGTCAGAAAGACTGAAATAGAACAAAAAGAGTAACTTTTGGTCCTATGAATTCATAGTGACCCAAAAGAGTCGGGCCACCATTCAGTGTCTTTGCATGAAGATTGAAAAGGAAACATTTATAGGGTGTGCATCTCTTATTAATCTGTATGTGTGACCTCAAATACCTAAAATAATGACAATAATAATAATAATTGTAAGTACTTATCTGTGCACAGTCTTTCCTCTGGCATTTATGCACAATTCACAGAACCACAGTTACATTCATAACCATTCATTTGTGGGTACGATGCCTCCTCCCCCTCATACAAATGCTTTGTGCAGTGCTTCTGGCTTTAAAAAAAAACAGACCCCACAAGCACACTAGGGCTTGTGAATGGCTAGTCCTCTCCAAACATGGGCCTGAGGTCCGATCTGACACAAGACAGTGTGCCTGTATGTACAAAAGTGTGTACGTGTGTGTACATGTGTGAGAGAATGCCAAAGCCTTTATACCCTATTTATTTGTTGTGTGTTTCCATCCACTGTTAATTTTGATAACATCTCCCAAGTCAAGGCACTTTGCCCAAGTCAGCGATCCTGTGTATACTAACACAGAGAAATCCCCCCAGCCCTTCCGTGATAGGCAGGGCCGTTTGCTGTGGTAGAGGAGAGCGCTCTCTGTCCCTCATGTTTGGACGGGGAAGACGTGCATGGTGCAGGCGCCAGGCAGGGCACTGATGGAGACTTGCTCCGCCATATGAAGGGCTGTATCATCAATATTACTACTTTTTTTTCTCCTTCCACCTCTCCTGAGTTATCTGCATGTTTCTGACAAGTGCTGACTCTGATGAGTTCCAGCTAGTATCTGTGTGCTCTTTCAGTTTTAAGTTTTATTTATTTTGGTTTCACACTTTGTTTCACAGGCATTCTCACATGGACAAAGGGATCTCTTTTTAATCCAGGCTCCAGTCCTCCTTTTATAGAAAACACTATTATCCTGTTATTATCCCTACCAACCAATGGACCAATAATTCCTACAAAATCTTACAAACAAATCAAAATTATTCCACACGTTATTTGCAAAGCTTCATTATTAAGTTGATAGTAACTGTACAGATTTGTGTCATGCCCAACATTGTTTGAAAAAAAGAAAAAACATTGTCAGTAAGTGTATTTATAAGGCAGCATAAAATCAAATTTCCAGTCTCTCAAAGTTAGAAATGCAGAAACTGATTATTATGCAGCATCACAATCAAGGCCATGTGTGCTCTCTTTCTTGAGTTTATCAGGTACACTTTCTAATAGTCAACTTCCCAAATGATTGCCCATTTTAAAGAGAATATTTAGGCTCCTTTCCAGTCTTCCTCACTGATTTTTAAACCCCTTGTCCTCCTTTCCTCCTTCTCTCTCTCTCCCCAATTGTTTTGATAGCTGAATGTGCTTTTGAAGCAGCTTGTCCACATACATGTGGTGTGCAGTGTGTTCTGGCCTAACTGTTTCTGTCTTGTGCTGTTTTACCTTTTATAGGGTCCACTCTGAAACGACTATGTCTAGGCAAAGAGCGCAGTAGTAGTAACTATCTCATTTACTTTCTTACTCTCTGTCTTTCTTACTGTCCTCACTATTTTAGTCCTCCTTATGTTTGTATGTGCATTTTATTTTCTCGTTATTGTTTTGGCACTTTGAAAATGTGGCGGTTCTTGTGCGTACTCTTCAGATTGTTGCATTGATTTATATATGCTGTTGTTTTGCATGGCAGTGTGCCGCCGTGTTTTGATTGCTGAATTCTGTCATTGCTTGCATATCGAACATTTCATTTGTCTATAATTACTCATCTAAGTCATGTTGCAATCCTTTGGCTGCTATGTTGGCAACATATGTGTCACAGTTGTAGCTGTACACACATTTACTCTGGCCTCAACAAAACATTTAGGACTATTTTTAAAGTATTGAAAGTAGGCATTCATGAAGGTGAAATTATAGGTTCCCTGTGTCAAGAGTGCCTTAAATTATGCCATACAGTAGCCAATTGATTTGACAGTCATCTTTATTTGACTGGGCAGACTTTTAAGACCTTTATGTCTTTTCAGGGTCCTCTCTCAATACCACCACTGCTCAGACAGCCTCCAGTCAGACACAGCCGCAACTCACCACAGCCACACCCTCACCATCTCCTCAGCCAATCACACGGCTTGCCCAGGTCCAGACCAACAACAGCAACAACAAGAGAGGCACATTCACCGATGATCTTCACAAGCTGGTAGATGACTGGACGAAGGAGACTGTTGCTGCAGCCAATCAACCAAGACCTTCCCTGAACCAGATCAAACAGCAGAGACGCCAGCGGGACCTGGAATGCAGAGCACCACCCATGGGAGCAGCTACACGAGAGGTATTCAAAATATCACTGTGCACTGAGTGACAGATGATTTCGTCTCATTAGACTTTAATCTATTACATTTTATGTAAGTATGAGGTGCTCTTTGCGCTAGTTTGTAAAACAACTCCCCTCTGTTCCAGATGAAATGCCATGTTGGTCCCAGCAAGTTCCAGCTGCCTCTTTCCTGCCCCCTGACTGCAGCTTTAGGCCCTGGTATGCCTACAAGCCTAGCTCCAAGCTCCTCAGCAATGCTCCCTCCTGGGTACCTTCTGCCAGCAGGCTCCTATGGTGGAATGGTTCCCGGTCCTCTTTACCCTCAGCAGTGGCCCGGTATGCCTAGTCCTGTAGGGTCCGTGGGTCCTGTAGGCCTGCTTGGTGGTGCAAGAATGATGCCCTATGCCACAATGGCAAACCCAGGGATCCAAGCCTTCCCTCTGGTCATGCACAAGCCCGAGAATGGCCCCTGTCCGAAAACCACTAGGACTACCTAATCTGCTAATTAGAATTTGTCAGTGTGTGCGAGCAGAATAGTCCAACTGCACTCTGCTCTGGTTCACCAGAGCCACAACTGTACATAATCTGATACTGTAAATAACATGACAGAGTGTTGATATTCTTTATACAACACATATATCTGTAGTAAATAGTCTGTCTGTCTGTCTGTCTGTCTGTCTGTCTGTCTGTCTGTCTGTCTGTCTGTCTGTCTGTCTGTCTGTCTGTCTGTCTGTCTGTCTGTCTGTCTGTCTGTCTGTGTGTGCACGCATGTGCGTGTATGTGTGTGTGTGTGTGTGTGTGTGTATACTATACAGTACATGTTAAGTAAGTATGTCTGAATACCTAATGCTTTTTGGCTTTGGTCTTGACTAAACTCAGCCATACGAGACATTTTGTCTGTGGTCATGAAAACATATTTCACTATTACTGCAGTTTTCACGTTGATTTTGCCTTTCTCTGTGTTATCTACACTTAAAACACTACATTGGAATCCAAATACCAGTGGTTTGAGAAACAGTAACAGGACAGTATTTATGATAAAAATATTTGAAAGAATGTAGTGCCTTGAACATTGATTAGGGTTCAAGCCTTGAAGGGGTAGAACCCTATTGTTTTTTGTCAGATTATTTTATTTTATTCTATTTTGTTTTATTTTATTTTATTGTCTTCTGCTACGGCTTGGATTGCTGCGAGCTGGAATCAGCTAGAAACATGAAACTTGGCCCAGTAACTGGAAATGCATGTGCTTCCCAAGAAATATGAGCCCCATCAGCCTGGTGGGTGTTGTTATTAGGGCCCAAAAATAAAAGTTTGGAAAGGCCACGCCCCTCACACTGTAAATCCAGCTGACTTAAAATTTGATACACAAGTCCAGCTCAATTTGCTATACAAAAAGGAAATTGAGCTTACAATTTGCCTCTTGGACCATGAAAGTCCACCATGATGGATTTTCTGCCATTTAGAATTTTTTGAATAACACATTTTTGACATCTCCTCCAAAACCAATTGTGACCAAATTTTCATTGGACCAACCTCAAAAGTTGTGTAAAGCTTGTGGATATCTTTTTTTAATTTACAGGATTTTACCAATAAACTTCACAAGGGGCAGGGCTAAGCAGGAAATTGGCCATAACTCATTAATGATGTGTCCAATCTGCATAAATCTTGGTAGATATTTTCAGTCCGTGTTTGGGAAGAGGCCTCCCAAAGCACCACAAATACCAAAGAACATGTATCTCAAAACCCGGTTGAAAGAACTTCACCAGTTTAGGTGTGCATGCTCTGGAGAAATATTAACAAAAATCTGAAGTGCCATATTAATGGGTGCAAGTGGGCGTGGCCTATCATATATTTGCTCATAAGTGAAGATGCCTTTGAGCAATCCTGATGAAACTGGAGACATCCTGCGCTATCTCCTGAACATACACACCAAGTTTCATTAAAATCTGATGAAGGGGAATACAAATGGCAGAACGTTGAAATGTGATTGGTCACGCTCCTTCTTTAAACAATTAAACTAGCTGTGACTTTGCTTGGCTTTGTCAAGCCTGACACCCGCTCCTTGCTGCTCACGGCTTAAATCTTGGCAGATTGAGCTGCGTCCCGTTGTTGAGAGCAAAAGGGTTTGAACCCAAAATCGTTGCTTTTTTTTTTTTCTTCTGTGAAACAAAGCATGTCTGCATCCAAGTTATTTCAATTGATGGTAGCTTGACTGCAGTCTTTTTTTTTTAATGCATTACAGACACTTTTGTTTTCAGTTTACAAATGAATGCCCTTGTAGTACTGCACTATTAACACAGTATATGCTCTTATTTAAATAATAAAATCATGTTTTAACCCTTGTTTACTTTCCACCCCTGTGACAGATGGAATGCCATAGTGGTGAGATGTACCGTTGCCTTGCAGAAACAAATGGTTAATGTACGACTGATGAGAGGAGGAAAAATAATTACGCCAGCAGCCAAAATCCACTCTTTCAGGTCAAATGGTTCAGTTGGACACAGCCCCTTTTTTTTGAAAAGACAACAGATGTATTGGACAGCACAAGAGTTGGCAGTGTTGTACCCCTGTGTTCAGAGGAAAGGCCGTGTCCAGAGCCATATATACTGTACATAGTTCTTTCTACAGTATATGCCTCTGGTAGTGTTCTGATCAGAATGTAGCAGTTAATATGTGATGGCTTGAGGCTTAAAAGTGCAATTTTTAACCCCTCCACAAAGCTTTGATCGTGGTTTTGCCACAAGCCTTATCTCTGATGTGTGCAACAGGAGCAAGCTGAAAAGTTGAACAAAGTTACAAATCACCAAGCAACAGACAGAAGTTACCAGGCAATGTATAAATATTACAAATCACCCTGCAGACTCTGAATTCACTACTGCTAAATGTTCTTTCAACTTGGCTGTCCTATTACAGCATACACTGTATGTAAAATGTTCTGTGCAATCACCGGTTAAGTCTGATGTTTTTAACTTATTTGATGTTTAAAGCTTGATTTTTGATGCTGCTATTGTCTGAGGTGATTCCACTGTACAGTTAAGCATTCTATTCACACAAGATGGTACTTAAAAATAAAAGACTTCTCAAATTAACAAATGAGACGCTCACAAAGCAGTGTTATTGCCTTGTTGAAATTTTGATGTGTTGATTTCCCAGGTTGCTTTTGATGATAGCCTTTTTTGTCAGTAATATATTGCAAAATTCAAATGATACTTGATGTGGGAGATTTGCACAACAGATAGTCTCCCTTAATTCTAACCTATGTTAAAGCGTTTCCTACACTGTATATAGTGGGTTTCACCGCCTGTACCTTTTTTTTTTTTGTTTGTTTTATCACTGACGAGCATGGCCAACTTTTCATGTTCTACAAAGCAAAGATAAACAATGCAGCTACTATGGTTAGAAATTTCACATCAACACAACACATTTGAAAGGTTTCAGCACCCCGATCCTTCCAAGCTGTGAATTGTACAGTTTTCTTGTAGTTTATATTTGTACATTTTGTTTGTTTAACTGTTAAGGGGTGGTGGTGGTGGTAGTGGTGTTGGAGGGGTTGCTTTGATGTATATTATTCCATCAATTCGGTTTGAATTGGACTTTTATAGGATATTATGCAGAGTCTTCTGCTTTGGTGAAATACTTCCAGTAGTAAGAGATTTCTGTTCTCTGTCACTTGTATCTGGTATGTTTTGTTCCACCTCCCTTGCTGCTAACTCACCGTGAGCAGAGGAGGGAATAACTATTGTTAATATATTCATTTGGGTGCAGTGGTAAAAGGGAGAGCTGAAATGCACAGAGGAAGAGCAGTCCTAACACTTCCTGCTCTGCTCATCTCACTTCTCTCTGGACAGCATTGCCCCCTGGTGAATATGCGCTGGTTGTTCAAGGCTTGTATTTAAACTGTGTGGGATTGCTTCTGCCTGCTGGATGTCCCACTGCATTACCCCACCCTACCCTGCAGCACTCTAATCACAGACTGTATGTTGAGAGAGAAATAAATATTATTTTGTGCTTGATGCTGTGTGCCATTGTTTTTATTTCCATGTGAATTTATTTGTGGTTATATCATAGTGAAAGTGCATTTTTAAATAAACAGGTGTAAGATTGAGTCATTCATAAATACGATAAAATTAAATAAAAAAAATCTGTCGAGAGTGTTTATGTTTTTCCCTAAATAGAGGATGTGCAAGTGTTAATACACTTAAAAATTATGTTCATACTCAGTCCTGCCCGACATCTTTGAAACAAAGGCACAGATTCGCGACATTCAACACAAAATAACAGTTGGTCAAGTATAAATGAACAATAAATCACCCAGTAAACATTGCAAACAGAATATAATGTATGTTATACTGAAATCTCGATTAAAGTATGCAGACAGGCTCTGTTTTAACACCAAAGTCGAAAAATAGATCCTGCTTTGTGTGGCGAATGTGTCAACCCGCGTCTGCGGCGTAACGTTACAGCAATGGTTGCCCCTTTTGTTCAGCCGAGTTTCTGAGTTATTCCCAACACAATGAAATGATCGGGATGTTATGTTGTTTCATAAAATCATTTCACTGCACCTATGCTTCCTGTGATCTCGTCTGGGATTATCTAATTAATTAAAATCGATCTACAAGCCTTCCGATCTGGTGTGAGGTTTCCGAAGCACGCAGTCTTGAGGAACGTGGAGTAGTAAGTGTTTATAACGTTGGTCCAGATCTGTAGCGTTGAACGGTTGAAAGCTCGTTTTGTGGCAGATTTGGTCACATTTGTCTTATTGTAAGCGCACTCTACATTTAAGTTTGCGGTTTTGATTTAGGTATAAACACAAAACACGAAGTAGTAAAGCACTGATGCAAAATAAGCCAGGCTATTTTCCTCGTACCGCACATTTTAGAGCTGTTTCACCTCAGATGGGAAGAACTAATTGGTCGATCGATCCCAGATATTTGATTAAGTATTAAACCCAATCACATAAGCTGTAGTAGTTTGGTACCCGCGGGAAATCAGACGTTATATTGTCATTTCGCTGCTCAGTGTCTGGTATTCACGGGATGAGGTCATTGTGGAGGGAAACACTGTAGAGGGCTGAGTGGTCATCTAAGTTAAGGCTACAGTGTATGTAACTTCAAACACTCTTTCGTTTATGAATTGTTGTTTAATGTACTAATATGCTCTGTAACGTTAAAGCGACTCATCTGTTTGTGTAGCTAACGTCTGTCCTGTGAATACAGCTACAATTTAGCACGCGAATTAAACCATGTAGTTAACGTTACCGACTTGAATGAAACACAGCGTCGATTAAGATGAAAAATTAACGGACACTTGCAAAAGCTAGCTTGTAACATTGACTTGTGAGTGGTGGCTTTATTCGCTGTAGCCATGCTATTTGGAAAGTGGATTGGTGTTGTTGTTTGCTAGCTGCTCTTAGCTTGCTGGCTAACAGCGCCAGGCAGGCTGCAATGTTTCATTGTTTGAGAAGGAAGCAGCAGCAAAATGCTACGGCTAACGTTAGCTGCACTAGAATGCATTAAGCCATTTGGTTATCTTCGGAGTTTTCATGCTAAATTTGACCTGTGCACTGTTTCACCTGATTTTCTAACCTAGGAGCTTGTCTTTACTGCCAACTAGGCGAAGTGTTGTGCCGTTTGTTTCTCTGCACGATAACCGACATAACTGTAGTTAGCTAGGACCAACAGAAGCAATAATATTTATCTAAATTGCACCTGTTATTTCACTGACAGAACAAAACAATTTGTTTGCTACTGAGTCTGGGGGTCATGGTCACGTGACTGCACCATAACAGGTGCACAGTG